CACCATTATTAACAAGATTGTAAAAACTAAATAATGAAAAAGATGTCACAGCGAACAGATTTTAATAACAGAGACTTGTCAGATGTCAAAAGCCAGTGACATATTCCAGAGCAACTATATATTTATTGCTAAATTGCATTCTTCAATTATTACATTAATTTTCTCGGACAATAGAACGGTTTTTAGTTTTTTACTCAAAAATGGCGCATCGAAGGAAAACAATTCAATAGAGATCATTGGTTTTAAATTGAACGGAGAATAAAAAAAAATATTTGGAAAAAACCATTGGCGTACCATTTTTTTCTTAAAAAATATCGAAGTCAATACCCGTGCGCACGCCACTGTTAAAGCTAAAAATTATTTTTATATTAAAAAACATGCAACTTTATTAACTTTCCCTACGTACTAAATGCCAGTCAAATATCTGAAGTGGTTCTGAAAATATTAATTAATATCCATTTTTTTTCTAAAACTTCAACACCCAGAGTTTTTGTAAGAAAACATTTTTGGGCCATAGTTTATAAAGCAAACTAACATTAATCTTTCATGTAGACTCACACCCTTAAATATTCGCATATCATTAAGGAACACCCTGTATATAGTATAGCTAGCAGTATAGCCTAGGACTTAGTTGTGAGATTTTTTCAGACACCTTGGATACCCAGCTTCCGTATTCCCAAGACACCCAGTGACCTCCACCCTGTATGACCCTTCTACGTAGAGATGAGTTATAATTGTTCAAAGTATCCTTGGCTCCGTGTTAACTGGTAATATACATAGGTATACTTTAGGGCTTAGCCGTAGGATAATGGTCATCAATTTGAACCCTTTCCCGTTTGGAGGCAGCAGTAACAGCGATGTTATCCCAAAGGCACACAACGTCCAACGAGCTGTTGAGGTTGCGATTAGGACGCTGCTGGAACAGCTTTGAGGGCCATGGGTGGAACGGAAGACTGGGCAAAGGGCCATTCATGCCGAATCCCTACCTTCCTACTTTTTAAATTCTACTCGGCTGGAAGGTTCCAATTTGTATAAAAAAATGGGTATAGGTCATCTTATATTTCAGTTACGTGAGGCGTTCCGCATTGATCCAACTTGGACCTTCTCTCATACATTTTATATATCAATGAACTATGGGATGCTAAATTGGAATGTATTGATGAGAAAAATTATTGCAAATACTTCAGTGATCGAGAACTGATGTGATGAGAATAACCTTCACCTCAGCGTGCAAAAATGTAACTCTTTCATACAGTAGAAGAAGCACAGTTGTTAAGCATAAATACATGACTGAAAATTCTGAAGTTCAGAGCGTCGCCACTTATAAAGGCTTATTTACAATTTTGCCGTTGAGCCAAAGGAACTCATACCTTGGTCGTCTAATTATATGCCTAAGATACTCTAATATACGTCTTCAAATATTTAATTTTAATAGAGTAATATGGTGTCCAATTCTTCGGAAGAGCCCTTTGTCGGCAATATGATCTATCTACTACTTGAACAAAATTATTATTTTAGCCTATCTTACAGGAATTTAATACTGATTACGAATATATTCGTATCATACAAAGGGGTTATAAATGGTGTCTTGAAAATTCAATTTTCTTCCCGTGTTCTGAAATATCTACTGAGCTGTTTTGTTTCAAAAAAATTCCATTTATCAATTTTGTGGAACTGATATTAGTGCATTAAATGCCTCTAGCACTTCTCAGAATGGCGAAAATTAGACCAGGAGTTCCCAACTAGGAGGGCGGTTCTCCGAAGGGGGACATAGAGAGATGTCAAGGGGGGCGGAAAGTGTTTGCATTTTAGAAAGAAAAAACAAAAAAATAAACAAACAACATTAATAAACAAACCCGGCGTCGTCAATCGCAGTTTATGCAAGTTTCAACAAATCACAACATTCAACACTCAGAAAACAGTTGTGTACCTACCAGACACGGATGACCATCTGTGACATTCATTCCCACAAACTTGCGAAAAATTTGACATTTCGATGTACATGTTTTGTTGAGAAATCTGTTTGAGTGTGCCATATTATTGTCTCACTGTTAAAAGGTAAGTTTGTGTATTTAGAAACTTCAGTTACCATTTTTATTTAATTTACTAAATTTTTGATTGAGTGGAGACGCATTCATAGATCGGCCATTGGGACTTTTTTACCACATCACAATCAACCCAACGACGAACTTTAAGTACCTAATATTGATTCCAAATGTATTTAAAATTACTATTATCATGTCAACCTGCCTACAAAAATATAAATCTCCGGGTAGCCAATATACTGTTGAATACATTACGTTATGAAGATAAAATAATGGGCATATAATTAGTAATTACATGTAGGTATTTTGCTTATCTATTTATTACTTATTTGTTTTATTGTTATAGGTGCAAGATGGCAGCGAAAAAAAGAAAGTTTTCAGAAGATTGCGTTAAGTTTGGATTTACCTTCATAGAAAAAGACGAGTTACAATTGCCTCAGTGTGTGATACGTATGAAAGTTTTAAGTAATGATAGCATGAGGCCCAATCGCCTTGTACGGCATTTGAAGCAACAACTCGGGTTTTGAAGACGAACGAGTTTTTTCTTCTAAAGCAGAATCACTCAAGCGGATGAGACTGGATAAATCGGAAGTTATCACATAGGTATATCGCAGCATCTCAAAGCTTCATTTGAAATAGCTTTTATGATAGCAAAGCAAAAGAAACCTCATACTATCGGTGAAGAATTAATAAAACCATGTGTCCCAAAAACCACGCAGATAATTTTAGGAGAAGATGCAGAGCAAAAAATGAAGTCTATTTCTCTTTCGAATAACACAGTCCAGCATAGAATCGATGACATTGCAGCAGACATAAAGTCACAAATAATTAACAGAGTAAAATTATCGCCATTTTTTGCCATTAGTTGCGATGAATCCACCGACATCGTTAATTGTGCACAGTTAATAGTTTATGTTCGTTACATCGGCGGAGATATCATTCAAGAAGATATTTTGTACTCCCAATCTTTGACAACAGGTACTACATCTGAAGATATATATAATTCAATATCAAATTTTGGTGAAAAAAATGATTTGGATTGGAAGAAACTCATTGGACTTTGCACAGATGGCGCACCTGCAAAGATAGGAGTCCGATCGGGCAAAAAAATCCCACACTGGTTAGTACACATTGCGTTATTCATCGGCAAGCTTTGGCTTCCAAAACATTGCCACAGAAATTACGACTCGGCTATAAGGATTTTAAACTAGATCAAGAGCAGTGCTTTGAACAGTCGGTTATTTACTTTACTTTGCAAGGATCTCGATTCTGATCACAAAGTTCTTCTCGTCCATACAGAAGTACGCTGGCTGTCCAAAGGCAACATGTTGGCTCGCCTTTATGAATTGAAAGAAGAGGTAGTTATTTTTCTTGTGTTCAAAGAAAAACACGATTTCTTGACAATGTTCAAAGATGTCACATTTCAATGGAGGTTGGCTTATTTAACTGACATATTTGACTGCTTGAACAACACTATAATAAGCAATTATGATTATATTATATTATATATATATATAAATATATATATATATATATATATATATATAGGTGAAAAATTAAAGCTTACGCCTTTTGTTGGGTACTTCGAGATCATTCCATGACCACTAATTTGTGCAATCATCAGGTGGTTTCACGATGTAATGTTTAAAATTTTTTTAAATAATTTTTAATCTGTTTTTAACTTGTTCTTGTCATGTTTTGTATAAATTTTGACTATTGTGCAACCTATTCAGCTCTCACCATGTTACTGGACGTTTCCCTCATCCTATACGTAAACAACAATTAGCAACATCCTCACATACTACTCTCCTGATGATGATGGCAAAGTCCATTGAAAGCTAGAGAGAATTAAAAAAAGTATAAAGAGTCCTCTTTGCTTAAATCTTGTCGAAGTACCCAACAAAAGGCGTAAGCTTAAATTTTTCACCTAACTGGTCTAGACGACAATGACCACGTCTCAAGTTATATATATATATATATATAGGTGAAAAATTAAAGCTTCCGCCTTTTGTTGAGTACTTCGACAAAATTTAAGCAAAGAGGACTCTTTATACTTTTTTTAATTCTCTCTAGCTTTCAATGGACTTTGCCATCATCATCAGGAGCTGCAATTACAATGATAACAGTAGCAACAAAGGTGTAAAATGAATTTAAATTGACTCAACTTACAGTAGTATGTGAGGATGTTGCTAATTGTTGTTTACTTATAGGATGAGGGAAACGTCCAGTAACATGGTGAGAGCTGGATAGATTGTACAATAGTCAAACTTATATAAAATATGACAAGAACAAGTTAAAAACAGATTAAAAATTATTTAAAAAATTAGAGCATTACATCGTGAAGCCACTTGATGATTGCACAAATTAGTGGTCATGGAATGATGAGTGACATGAAACCCTTTGACAGAAGGCCGAAGGATGTCAATGTCAGTATTGAAAGATGGAACGAATTGTGGGCGTGTGCCAAAACGTTGCCAAATCACTTCAGATGATGAGATTTTCAGAATTTTATGTTAGAATTTGTTAAACCGACCAGAGGCAGTTGAATAAACTATATTATTATTACTATCCATGTTACTGGACGTTTCCCTCATCCTATACGTAAACAACAATTAGCAACATCCTCACATACTACTGTAAGTTGAGTCAATTTAAATTCATTTTACACCTTTGTTGCTACTGTTATCATTGTAATTGCAGCTCCTGATGATGATGGCAAAGTCCATTGAAAGCTAGAGAGAATTAAAAAAAGTATAAAGAGTCCTCTTTGCTTAAATTTTGTCGAAGTACCCAACAAAAGGCGGAAACTTTAATTTTTCACCTAACTGGTCTAGACGACAATGACCACGTCTCAAGTTATATATATATATATATATATATATATGAACCCCTGTTATATCAAACCTTCAACTTTGGAATCAAAAAGTATCTTCTAAAAATGTTATATCTTTTCTCGGCTGTTTGAAGCAATTAAAAATAACATACCGGACTCAAATTTAAAAGCTGACATAAAACCTCATTTGCAAGCGCTGAAAGATGAACTTCGCCGATACTATCGAGACGTCAATTCAGACTCATCCATATGGCACATGACAAGAAATCCATTTGTTGTCGATGTGTCACAATTACCAGAAGAAGTTCGGGAAGAATTTCTAGAAATGAAGGCTGATTCGTCCATGAAAGATGACTTCCATCTTTTAACATTGGAGAAATTTTGGATCAAAAGATTGCCTGTTAATGCGGCACTTGCCTCTCTTGCTTTACGAATACTAGTTCCTTTTTATTCAACTTACTTATGTGAGACAGGCGTTTCTGCTCTAGCTTTAATTAAAACTAAACAGCGAAACCGATGCCGATAGTGACCTGATGAGAGCTCTGACAAAAACAGAACCTAGAATCAACCAACTGGTACAGAACATGCGACCTCAAGTGTCTGATTAGTACTTACTCTTATTTTATTATTATTATTTTTCGATAAAAAACATTTATTAGTTTATTTAAACTTTTAAAGTTTCTTTATTAGAATTAAAATAAAAGTCGTTGTACCTATATAATGTGCGTTTTTTTGTATTTATTGAAAAGTAAGGGGGGGGGGCATGAAAATATAATTTATAGCCTCAACAAAAAAAATGTTGGGAAACCCTGTTCTAGACGATTCCAAAGTTTGTGATATTCCACTCATTAATGGTGAATCGGTTTTTCTTTACATGATTATTATTTTATATTATTTATATTATCTTTACAATTATAAATCTGCAATATATTGAACTGCCGATTCTGTAACAGATTTTCCATCATTATTCAAAAATCTCAAAAATTGTAAGATCTGAAAACATAACAATTATATGCATCTATATCCCCCGCTGTTGCTATGGCCGACCTTGGCCACCACATTTTAACTTTCCAATAAATATATGGTGATATGAAGAATTATTAAAAATATATCTAGAAGAAGAAGAAAAATTATTCGAAATAATTATTTGAAGGTATGTACGAACTTGTTTTATCATCAATATGTCTGTAACAGTCAACTCGGGAAATGAAAACTTATAAGAAACGAAGAGCTTAAGCTACATAAAATCGTTAGTACATGAGTATATAATAAATTTCGCTATTTTGCTTACTCGTTGTTGAATGGCTGTGAAGGGTAAACCCCATATATATTGGTTTCAGAAGTAATAAGTAACCTCAGATGCAATAACATCTTTCATTTTGGAGATGACTTTTGACCACCTAGATCGGTCACTTTGCCAAATTCGGTAACAAGCCGCCTTTATATTAAATTATAACAATTCTTATTATTATTTTTGGGAGAGACTATTTTATTTTTATACTACATATTATTTTGAGACGATGCGTTTTGGTTCTATTTCTCAGTTTTTCTATCAACCACCCAGCTCACGCACATGATTTTGTTGTCACTTACGCTACGAAAGCGTCTTAAGCAATAAAGGTCATTGTAGTTTCTGTAAATCGAACAGTGGCGGCGGAAAAAAAGCCAAAAGCGAAATGAATAAAAATCGCTCAAATTTTTTTTTTGATGTTTCAAAGAGTTCTGATCATTTTCAAAGAACATTTTGGGGGTTGGGGTTTGTATGTGGTGTAATGTGGTGTATGAAAATTTCTTGATCTTAGCATATTCATACGCTTCTAACCCCAGTAATTCTATTCACCTAACAGTCATATTTCACACATCATATATTTCCCAGTACACTTATTTTCAAAACTTACAAAAGGCAGAGACAGGTTTTCGATCCGCGTACTCCTGCTATCTAAGCTCACCGCCCGGCGAACCAGTCCGGCTGACTGATCCATCCTTTCTGCAGCGCAAAAAATATATGCACGGGCCATGAACGAAATGCACAATAACTCACTGCGCGATGCCGCGCTGGGCGCTGCCGTGCAGTAGTGGAAAGGGACAACGTTGACATCTGGCCAGTAACTACCAGTAGGGCAGAGAAAGAATATCTATGGACTAATCATACGGGCCTGTTTGACTGACATAACCAATTTAATTTCTCTGTACATTTCGTAACTGATTTTCTCAGAGGATTTAAATGTTGCTCTGAACTCATTTCTTTATAAATTGATTACCGCGTTCGTAGGAAGTTAAGAGTAAACCCACTTGACGCCATTTTTTAGATGATCATGCAAAATATGACTTGAGACTGTTTTTGAGAAAAATTGGCTTGCATATATCATACCTGAGGTAAAATGTGTAATCCGTTTAAAAAAATCCATCTGTTCTACTTTGAAAATGTATTGAAACTTAACATCCAAATGAGAGTAACGTCTGCTTTATTGGAAGGGTATTCATGTTTTGTCGTCAATTAGGCTCAACAGTTGTGTAGATATTTTCAACAATCTGTATGTTGATAATAGAGCATTTCTACGTTTACGTTTTATGCTGGCGGTAGTGGTGGGGAGGCGAAGCCTGGCACTAGGCTACTTTTGACTCTTTTTGCCGACCCCGTAGTACCCAGACCACAGGTCATCTATTGGTAACTGATTCTTGTACAGGGTGGCCGCTGTGTAACTGACTGCTTTGTATCTTGAATATTTGTGAAATGAAATAAAATTCGTCCTTTTTTTCATCTTAATCTTTTATTGAGAGTTAGAAATTATGTATGAAAAATAATATCAGACAAATGTCTACCTCTAGAAACCGCGCAAACCTGAGCCGTCTTGATTACATTTTCCATCACTTTTTGGTTGCTCTACAGTATTTGGTTCGTAGGCATAAACCCAATTTTTCAAAAATCCCCATAAAACAAGTCAGAAGCCGTTAAATCCGATGACCTTGGTGGCCACCAAATCGAGAAATTAAACGTCCCGGAAATAATGTTCGCAAAAGATTAATTGTTTCCCTAGCTATGTGATAAGTTGCTCCGCCCTGCTGAAACCACATGTTTTGCAGGTTAAATTGCTGGATTTGAGGAGCCAGAAAGCATTGCAGCATATCACGGTAGCGCTCGCCAGTGACAGTAAGAGAATTACTTGCAGCGTCTTCAAAGAAGTAAGGTCCAATGACACCTCCATACCAAACACCGTACCAAACTGTGACTCAACGAGGATGTAGTGGTCATTGATGGATGACACGAGGGTTTTCTAATGCCCAGATACGACAATTCTGCTTATTAACAAATCCGTTCATATCGAAGTGGGCTTCATCGCTTATTATCAGTTGTTGGTACAAATCGTTATTTTGGGTATGAAGGCGGCTCCGACGCAGTGAGTTTCAAGCCATTTACGAAGGTTCAGCTGCTTCAAAACTGACACTCCATTTTTCAATATTTTTGAATGAAATTCATACAGTATGTTCAGAAGATAATAGCCCAGGGTGCTATAGGAGCACTCTGTGGAAATTTCATCCAGAAATATCAAAAAATAAAGCGTCAATTTCGAAGCGCGCAAACCTCTACAAATCGTATTTTGGACGAATTTTGTCTACTGTTTCGTGCTGCCAACCCAAGCGTTGCGGCGCAGTGTACGGACTAAGAAATAATTTGGTGGCCCTATTTCATATAATATCGAGTAGATAAGTCGTTCTGCAAATAAGTACTCATAATCGCGATCGCTGATACTCCTCGATTTCAAAGCCGTTTTACTTCCCACGTCATTGGAGAGGAAATATTGTAGTCGCGAAAAATGTCTAAAATCTGATGTTATGTTTTTTTAAGTCGTATGAAAAACTGTATCACTCATCAACTTGGAAATAACCGCTCGGATTTTTATGAAATTTCCACACGGGGTTACTAGTATGCCAAAGTTTTAGTCCAGTAGTAACGGTGCTATAGGTAAAAAAGAAAAAGTAACAATTGAACTCCGTTTTTGACGTAACAGGGGTTCCTTATCATCGGCAGAAAAAAATTGTACTGCTTAAAAAGTAGGGATTGGGGGAAGGTGATTCTAAATGTTGCATCTTTGATATCAGTGAATAATTGTGCTCAACTTCTTGATATTTTAGAAAGATCCTAGTGGATAAAATCGTAAAAGTGGATCGTTAGCACCCTGTGGACTTTGTTTTTAGCACGCTGCAAGAGTTTCATTTGGAAATAATAAAAAATGAAACGTAAGCTGTGAAGTGCAAATCGGTTTTTGGGCGAAATTCGTCTACTGTTTCGTCCTGCCAGTCCAAGCGACGCGACGGTGCGTTCCGACTAAGAAAAAATGTACCTATTCAAATAATTTGATATATTTACTAAAATAAATTCAAGAACTCAAATTAAAATTCGTTTATTCCTGTTAGTAAACACAATTATGTTTACAAGGGTCATGTGGTACATGGTAACAATTGAATGAGGGTCATAAAAATATCTTATGCCATCAAAATAAGAGGAAACAGTTAGGTAGTTTTTGCAAAGCAATAAACAGGTAGGCAAATACCTGGATTAAGTACATTTCTTGTCTACTGTAATAGGTAGATGGAGGCGATGCTGCCAGAAATGGATGTGTGCGATCAATAAACAAACCACAAGACTGAACTGCGGTGTCCAATGATTTTTGTATTGCCTTACTAGAAAACTCTGTTGGGTATATGATGGAGTTTACTAGAACTTTACAGCTTGTTGTCTGCCTTCTTCTACAAACTTAACCAAATCGAGACGCTGTCAACCTTATCCTCAGATGAAGGCGCGATAAAGTACAGTCCTGTGTTTTGGTGACTTGCTCGATCTGCAAAATCTCGTCGTCACTTTTTTTAAATTTCCCTAAACATTTTCGCTTAGCAACCTCCAAATCAATGTGTGTCAGGTTTTTGATTGAATTCGCCATAAAACTATTCATTTTCTTTGGAATTGCTATCCGAACTGTTAGTTATTTTTATATCAGCTTTTTTTGGTCTGAGTTTCTTTTCAAGATTCTTGCGTTTGAGTCTTTGTTCCATCTTAGCGATAAGCGAGGTTGGACTAAGCTTAGAACGCAAATGTATTTAGATCACATATACAGGCCGCCGGGTATTGTGGCTCACTACAGCTGCAGGACATCTTCCATGGTATGACCTCTTCTTGCAATAATTTATTCGCTTACCCAAATGTATTTTGCGATTATAGAGTTGACCTGCTCCACATTATGGTTGACCTCATCAAGAATTAAACTTAATGCATTCGTAATTAAAATGGTCGCATATGACCCTTTATTGTGCATTATCAGCCTTGATAAAAAAGGCATTCCTGAACAATCACACCAACAACAATTCAACAACAGAATATCGACGAACAGTAACA